GCGCGCCGCCGGGCCCAGGGCCAGGCTCAGCCGCCGCGCTGCTGCCTTGCGAGGCGGAGGAAAGCCTTGCTGAACATCAGGCCGCAGGAGGTTTCTTATTTGCAGACAAGCTGCGAGACATGATGCGGACTCAGCCCAGGGCAGGGGGGGAAGAAAAAGTTAATCTTATTCACAGCAAGTTTGTTTTTACCGATCTTCTACTTCTCTATTACTTTTTAATGGTCTGCAGTGAAAAGAAATTCCTGTATGCACACTTGAGAATATGAAAACTCCCAGATGATAGCCTATGATTTACTAGGATTTAAGTATTATGTATGCAGGTGTAGCATGTTTCAGGTTATTAGTAATCCAATCTATTTTTTATGACATTATGGTGTAATTTTCTGTATAAAACTTTAATGTAAGTCTTGAGCTGTATTGGAACATAAACGAAATTGTTCCTGACTCTGTCACTTTCCACGGTCTTTACTTTGATTAATAAATGCAACAAGAGCTATAAAATTCTTCAGTAAGAGGCTATGATCATCCTTCAATCAAAATGTGTTCCTCATTTTATTGTGACTTTTCCCAGCAATATGTAACAGTGGAGAAGGCGCTGGGATACGATATCGGCGCAACGGAGCATGCACATCTGAAAGGCTCTGCAGAAGACGAGCGTATTTTTGCCTCATTGCGGCCAGCTAATCTCCTTGACGCAGCCAGAAGTTGTGTCCTTGGAGAGCATCAGCCACGTGTTTTCCTGGATGGAATCAGGAAAGCAGAGGTGAGGATCGAAATGCAAAATTGGGTAGGGATTTGGCACCCCAGCCTGCAGAGCTTTGCTCTCCGCTCATTAGACACCTTGCTGAAGTATGGTTTTCTTCAAATGCACCAGAATGCGGGTGTTCAGCTGTGCTCCGCTCTATCAACAGCGGCTTCTGCTGGAGAGGCATAAACCACAGTAGCAGAATTTAACGTTATACCCAGTAACGATATTTTGCAGCCAATACTCTATAAGCACAACAAATAAAATCCAAACTCATGCACCAGCATGGGGCCTGGTTGCAGAGGGGAATGAGGGAAACGCCACACGCCGTAAGGCTCCTCCAGCCCTGCACAAGTGGCAGAATGAGTCTGGCTTTGCCCTTCGCAGCCCAGGCGTTAACCAGGGCCAGGAGAAACCGCCTCCGAGTTTCGGCTGACCTGTCCCATAAACCTCCTCGGGAAGCTCTGCATCATGCTGCATTAGCCACGGCGGGGAAATAACTCACAAGCTTGCCAGGTTGTTCTGTTTTATTTCTGAATTATTCTTTACATTGTACAATATATAAAAATACAGAGTACCCAAAAAAAAAAAAATTCACAGTGTCTAAAGGCAGTGATTACAGTCTAGGTCACCTTTATACTAAAGTACCATCAAGTTCAATTGCATAGGAAGGGTGATGTGCCTTCACAATAGAGTCCAATAATACTCTCCAGGTTTTGCTGTTTTGGGGCAAGCACTCTGTGTTCTGGTAATAATTTCTCATTTATCCAAGAGCCGATATTGCATCTGTCACTCTCCCACTTCAATTACAAACTAAATCATCTCATTTACCTTTCACATGCTAGTCTTCCTCCCTAAAGTTTCTTCTATGGGAATGTTCCTAATTAACTCTATCAGTTTAAAGCATGTGCACTTTTGGATGTTATCTAAGGAGTCGTGTGTGGATGGAAACCACACTGTCATGCAGCTGGCTGGCTTTTACGTTGTTTTGACATTTTGGTACTAAAAACATTTTGCTTCAGTTATTAATGGCCTATGCACACTGACCTCCGCTTGACTCCCTGGCACGTGCATTACACAGTTCTCCAGCTCACAGAGGTTTCAGCAAGAGTAAAGTGTTAACATTAGCCCTGATCAGATTCATTTAAAAAAGAGGGGGGGGGGAAAAAAAAAATCACACTGGGAATTCCAGAAAAGAAAACGTTGTTCGTGTGTCACTGAACCAGCTGAACCATCTCTAATAGTGGCCAGGGAGTTTGGGGGGGGGGGGGGGGGGGGGGGGGAAAAAAAAGGGAGGAGGGGGAACAGATTTGCAGATGAGGCTTGGAGGCAGAAGAGACGAAATCAAGTTCAGGAACCAAACTTGTGTTGAAGAATACTGAACACGCATCTCTGTGGCTATCAAAATAGCAGGTTGCTGATTTTGTTCTTCCAGCCTGGACAAGTACAGAAACTAAAATTTCCCAAGGGTCCCCATGAGGAAGACAGATTGGGTGAGACTGGCCAACTCCCCACCAGGACCTGTGCTCTAGAGACTTTTTTGCCCAAGTTTGAAGGAGCTAGAGGTCGGCCAGCATCAAAATTGGTGGATTTGCTCACCTACCCCCAAGTCTGTTCCTGAAACCTCCTCAAGTTTCTTCCTAGCAGGCTTAGAGGATTCACCAGTACAAGCCTGGGCCTTGGGCAGAAGTACATTAAATGACCTGTTGAAAATAAAAAAATCCTTCAGACCAAATGTATTGGGTATTTCTTCATTATGCCGGGCAAGGCCACGGGGTGCTGCACCATGCCTTGCCTACGGGCTAGCGCACGGGAGCGAAGGGGCAAGAAACGTATGCGGAGCCTTGCTCGCGACCGCTGGAAGCTCCACGGACATCCGCGGCGCAGGGCGCTGCCCCTCACAGCGTGGCGGCTTTTTGGGACCCTCTGAAAACCATGGGTTTGCAGGGTCGCTCTTCCTTAAATTTTGTGCTAAATCCCACTTGGGTGACAGTAAGGCAAGGCCTACACCGCCCATCAATAACTCAGAAAGCAACTGCTAAATTCTTTAACATATAAGTAGTCGATGACATTTTTATTTTTCCAGTTCTAATAGAGGATATGTTTTACTCTAATGGTATAATATTTGTTACTCCTACTTGCTATTTTAATTTTATTTGCACAATTACTCCCTACTTATAATTACAAAAACAATAAAAGTGATACACATGAGAGACTCAGGACGCTTATTCAGAAAATATAAGCCGTAAAAAGTATCTTTTACTTAGTCATTCTTAACCAGAATGATTTAGGGGGGAATCAGCATTCCTAACTAGAAAAATCAATTTTCTTTCAAATTAAAAAAAATATTTTGCATTTAACTCAGAAGTGTGTTTTGTAAAATCTAATGGAAAGGATATTAGATTTTTACAGGGTTTTTTTTTTTTTTTCCCAGTTTGTCTCTGTGGGAGTTGAATACCAATACTACCTTTCTTATTCGATTTCCTCTGCAGGCATTTTGCTATATGTATATATGTGTGTATATATGATATACTGTATCTATCCACTGATAGATGTATACACTATTACAAAAAAGAGCAAGTTGTTACACAAACTTTACATTTACATTTATATACACACAGATATATAAATATATACATATATATCTGTATATCTGTGTATATATATATATATATCTGTATATCTGTATACATACATACATACATACATACATACATTTATATATATATAAAACCTCTCTCGCACACTACATTTGGTACAAAGAATAAATCAAGCTCAGTGGACAGCAATTTCCTCTTCAGGTGGGCTTAACATCAGATTAACACTGGAGGGGTCACGCTGTCGGCATCAGACGTGGACTCCAGTCCTACCCTCTGCTGCTTTCAAAACAACTATCTCCTTTTCTAAAAATAAGGAGTTAAGGACAGTGGTGGTAACACAATGCACAATCTCCTGTGGTATCTGCACATTTCACAGGTTCACGAGCAGCCCTAGCTTGGCCCTAGCTTGTATGTTTACGTATGCATTTAGCGCAACAGCCCCTCTTACCCTGTGGGTTCACTGGCGGTGGTTTGCACATGTTATTTCTGGCGGGTGGCATCCGGCCCGAGGGATAACCCTGCAATACGCCCGCCCCTTCTGGACAAAGTAATGCAGCATGCATGGTGAAAGAAAATGACAGGCCTAATTACAGATGTTTCCACTAAATATTTGGCTAAAAGCCTTCCATCATATTGGACACGGCATACACCTGACTCCTAACCAAGGGGTTTGTGCAGAACGACCGCCTCGAGGCCGACGCGGTGATGACCACTGACCTCCACCTCTTTCTTAGACGTGAAAGAAAAAAACCTATATAGCGAGATGCTTCTTTCAGTAAGGAACACTCCAGAACTAAATGAGTTTCCAGCGTACTCTGAGATGATGTTAGGAATAATAGGAAATTTCAGCAAGTTTAACATCCAACTGCAGGAGCAATTCCATCTACTACGGATATTACAGACCTGATGATCACGCTGCTGAATTAGCTGGATCGCGAGAGTGTCACTGCATATGGTGTCATTAACCTGCCACACATTAGAGCGTTCATTAAAAAAAAAAAAAAAAAAAATGCAACCCTCACAGCACGTTAACAGTGTCCTTAAAGAACTGCACTCCTATGCAAACATTAATTGAGTAATAGGAGGCCTGATTTCTCTCTTTTTCTCTCTCGCTCTCCCTCCTGGGTTCTACTTTCTGCTCGAATGGACTCTGCCGACTCTGTGATTGCCAATTACAGGAGAAAAGGCTGAATCCATTTGGATGGCTGGTAAGAAGGAAAGTCTTGATGAAACTATAACCACATGCACCACCCTCGTAGCATCTGCCCTCCAATAGCCTACAAAATATGCACCTTTTGAGCACAATGGTAGTAATGACCTATTTAAAGGTTGACCATTTAAATAATTACAGCTGCTACATGGGACTTTCTTTGGGGAAAAAAAAGTAGCAGTTTAAATAGTGCTATTCAGAGAGGCTGAAAATGGAAAAAATGTTTAAGGAGCAAAAAAAAAAAAAAGAAAAAGAAAACGAAAACAAAAAGTGAAAATAATTGCAAGGTTTGACTCACTTGCTCGCATTTCCCCCCCCCCCAAAAAAAAAAAAACCCCACAGCTCCACAGCTGCAATCTTGCCACATGCGTGATAACTGCAGAATGGGTTGACAACAGGGAATCTTCTGAAAGGGAAGCTCAGAGAGGTGTTTAATTTTACAGTGGCTAGAACGAGCTTGGAAGCCAACATTTTCTTCTGACTCACCTAAATTAAAGCTGGGAAATCCCAGCCAGGTAGTCTAATGCAATCATTTTCAACCCCTAGGCTACATACTTGTTAGAACTACTTTAAGTCTGGATTTTCAGCATTGCTTCAGGGGATTAGGAAATTCAGTGAGGCTCAGTTCCCCCATGTGAACTCTTCACGGCACGAGGCACAGAGGCAGCAATCCGCAAATGGGATTTAGGGGGGCATGAAGCCCCCCCCCGCCGCAGGCATTTGTGGCTGCTACCAGCAGGCTTGTGCTCGCTGGGCAAGTTTTTGCTTCGTTCTTGCAGCTCTTGCGCTGCCGTGTCGCTATGCTTACTGCAAGAGTTGCTGCAAGTTGCTTCACGCAAAGCTTCAAGGCCTGTATCAGCTCTTAACCCCACTGCTTTGGATTTGGGTACCTCTGTTTCAGGGCATCCCTTTCTTCCTCTTTTCCCTTTGTTTCTGCTGGAGAAACCAGTGCCAAGGCAGGATGAGCCTGCTAAATTAGAAGAGCAGCTGCTGGAAATGGTGGGCACCATTGAGGCTAAGGCATCCTTGGGGCAGTGCTAATTACCATACTTCACTACAAATATCCCTACAGCCTTCAATCACTGCAAACTAAGCCTAACGTACTAATTTAAAAATGGGAGGTTACTTTATTCTTGTCTGCTGGTCAAACAACCATAACACAGGCTGAGAGAGCCATGTTGGCTTTTCCTCCCAGGAAAAGCAATAAACTTGTCACGCGCAATAGAGTCTTTCTTCATTTCCTACCTGCTATCTATGTGAAAGAGCTGAGCACAGAGCCCAAGCTCGACCCTCCAAACAAGCAACTGCAAAGTAACAGCAGAGAAATGAGCGGCGTGTTGGCGTACAGCTAAAATCTGAACTAAAACAAATATAAAGGGAGCCACTTGGAACACGTCCAAGTCAATGACCAAGCTTAGGCATGACAATTGCTCGAGTAAAATGCAGACAACACATCCAAGTTCTGGACCACTTGGAGCTCATGCGCGTTTCAGGGTGTACTTTTTAGCTCATGCTCAGTATTGCGACAGTCTAAAATTCTTAGCATCAGGAGTTCATTATAAATATTTAGAAACACTGAATGATAACAGTGGTGAACTTGCTCACGTTGCTAACACATTTGATGTAATTGTACATTAAGCACCAGCAATAAGTTTCCTTTTGGCCAAACAATTATGTCAGACAAACATCTGGTTGTAGACAACATGGCTTCTGCATCAAACTAATACAGTTCTTATAGACACAGTCACACACATACACAAAATTACATTTCAAGGCTGGATATACTGTTTAATAATGCCACTGCCCCAATTTACTTCAATGGCTGCAGCAGCATTTGTTTGTTGGGTTGTTTTTGTTCAGAAAAATTAAAGAAATATTGGCAAACAATGCAGATTATTCAGCTGTGTTATTATTTCATAGACTACTGACTGGAAGACGCTATAGGAATGTGCAGCAGACTTTCTGGGTCATGTCAGACTATGGAAACATTCTTTACAAAAATACTCTCCCGCTGCAAAGTCAGAATTATTCACTCTTTGAAAATAAATGAACTAAAAACCAACAGTAAAACAAGAGTAAAAATAAGCCCAAAGCACGGTGCCTTTCCACAAGAAGAGCACAGCCTCTAAAGTTGGCTTTCCTGGCAGACACAATCGGGATCAAAGCTAGAAGAAAAGAGCGTCTCAGAAAAAAAGAAAGAAAGAAAGAAAAAGCCCATGGCTCTTGTGCGGCAATCATCACATATATTTTTCCAGTGAAATAAACACCTTTGTTTGTTAGGCACTCCAAGTTCATGTCTCCGATGTTATTCCAACATTTACTTAGCTCAACTTCTCACTGCCTGTATAATTTTCTTTTAATTAAAACTGGAAACATTCTGGAAAGCTTCTTTGGGTAATGCACTTTGTTTGTATGTTATTTTTCATCAGCTGAATTGCATATTACCAAAGAAGGCTGTGGAGAGTATTTCCTGTAGTAAGAAAAGATTCTGTTGAAGATACAGGGAACACTGCCCTAAAAAGTCACCCTTTTTTTTTTTTTTTTGCAGAAACGTAAAAAAACAAAAGCAAAAACAAAAAAAGGAAAAGAAAAAGAAAACATTCTTCAAGTTGTTGGCATGATGGAGTCCTGCTCAGGCTGTTTTGTGAGCTATGTGTCATCCAGTGCACTATTGCTACCCTGTCCCAGGAAGGATGCTCCTCACCAGACAGACACTCCTTGGTCCAAGAAGCCTCCTCTTGTGTTTCTTAGAGCGCGCCTGTACGTAGCTGTGTTCTGCTGCACGGTGAACACTTAGCACAGCACACAGTCAGCTCCTTGACAGTGTCGACTTTGGACAGAAATGCTGATCTTGCAGCCATAAACAGTTGCAGTAGTAAGAACCATCTCCAGCCAGATATCCACAACAGCTCTGCAGAATGGTCCATATGCTTTTTTGTCCTTGTAAGGAGATGTGCTGTTTACAAGTAATACAATTAACCAAAGGAAAAAAAAAAGACCCTACTGTACAATATTTACATCTAGAGATAGGGCCAATATTTGGTCCATAAAATCAATTAAAAAAAAATTTCATATAGGAAGTGAGCCAGTCCTGTAGGGTCTGTCCATCATCAGCTGTTGGTAAAGGTCCTTCCAGGGGAGGCCTCAGGCCTGTAGTCATATTTATTCAGTGTACTGGGATAATAGGTTGTCGTGTACACGTTGGTTTGCTGCAACGGGTAGAAGTTGGTCCTGTCATCTGGTATCAAGTTGTTCTTGTTAAGTGTCTGTAAAAGAGAAGAGGAAATGACAGCCATGGAAATGGTGTGTCATAATTACTCTTCTCTACCTGCAGATACCTCCCTCTCACCTGCCTTCTCCAGCATGGTCTCTGTTGCCACCACCACCACCTCCCCTCCAGCTGGGAGAGTAAGATGGTACATTGTAATCTCTGTGGGGGCTAGCCTGTGGGGGGACCCACAGCCCCTGCCAGGTCTCCTTTGGTGGATCTGTGCTCAACTATTACTAGGGCTAGAATCCAGGGCCTTCTCCAGAGACCCGGAGTCTCCTATAGTAGATGGCACGTTGACTGATCATCATTGTCACACAAAGCCATGCTGGGCCTACACAAAACTTGGTGATTAATGCTAGTGCTCAATCTAATCTCTTCCAAAATGTTCTCGACATAGCCTGCAGCTTCCTCTCAAACTAGGTGCCAAATGGCAGCTTTTTCTCTTTGGAAGAGCAGGTGTGCATTTACCTGATCTCCATCTCCATTGGTAGATATCCAGGTTTGGACCCCCCGATATTAAGTGTGTCACTTCTGTAAGCTACAGTATAAGTAACAAATCATGGTCACTTTTGGAAAAACTAAAATGACTTAAAAAATTAACAACCATGTAACAAATGTTGTCAACAACAACATAAAAATGAGAACCACAAATGTCCCTTTTACCATTAGAACTTAGAAATGGGGTTCCTCTCCCTCCCTTCTCCCCCCTTCCTTGTGTTATGCAAGAATTACTATTAGTCTTCCCACCAGCAATCAGATGTCCCCCTCCCCTTGGGATTAAAACTCTATGCCAGTCATTACCTATGCACAATGATAAAATCCTGTTTTGGAGGGTGCAATAACTGCATGAAGCTTTATCCTTCCTCCTTCTAGTCACCTGATTTGAATGGATTTGGCTGCAATTTTTGAGGAAAATTTATGATAGCACTTTTTTTTCAAACCAATGTCTTACATGTACTTCTGGCCTAAATCACTCCTAAGCACCCCTTAAAGGGTTGTTATGCTGAAAGGCAGGGAACTTTGATCTGCGAATCAACACAAGCTATGTTATTGCAGAATCCTAATGATAGGTGCACAGCACATTTCCAAAGAGGGCATGAGTGTCTCTCCTGTCTGGAGCAGAGAGGCAGAGGGGTCTAGAGTGGTAACGAGTCCTGGGACCTAATGGTTGTTCTGCTACAACTCAAAGCTTCTGAGAAAACCCCTTAACCTTAGTTTCCCTTTGAGACAAGCAGCTCATACCCTACCTAGCTCAGGGAGAGATGGAAATTAATTAACTACTGCTCAAAACCATGAAACACCCAACTCCATTAGTTTACTGATAGTGAAACAGTAGCTTACCCAGGCAAGTGGTTTCCTACATTCTTCAGGTGAATAAAGCAAATCACAAAGGGTAAGATTCAACTCATCTCACTTCAGCCACCTAAACTTCAGGGTCCATCAGTAATCCAGGGAGAGGCCTCCATCCCGTGTGAAGGCAGGTGTGGACGAAAACTGTGTTCTGGGAGAGCCCCTGTCCCCACCACAGCCCGGGAGCAGCCAGGCCACTAGCTGGCAGTGGGTGCCCAACTTTTAGAAGGCTACACTTAGGTCTTGCCCTGTGCAAATACATACGGCACGAGTGGGCCTTAGCCAGATGCCAACTATTATTGCTTAAATGACCAGAGCAGTAGCTCTGCTAAGACCACAGGCACTACATTTATGTCCCTATTTCATTTTAATCATTAGCAATTTTACTGCATGGGGAGAGGAAGAGGAGGAAGAAGAAAAGAAAATACTTTCCTCTATCAGCAGACTCACAGTTACAGCTACCTTGGGAACTGTGACTCCCGGTTTCATTCAAGATGTTCAAGAGAAAAGGCTTGCTTTCCTCTGGCAAAAGTAACCTGGCAAAAATATAGCTTCCCAGCTGTGTAAAGGAAAATGCTTTAGAGAAAAGCATTAAACTAATCAATAGGCTTGGACTGTTTGTCTAATCAGGCATGCAGAAGCTATGATATAATGATTACTGTTACTTGCTATAACCGAGTAACTTTTTTGGCAACAGGCTCTACCTGAAACATCCTCATACATGAAAACAGGAGGAGAACCAGGCTCCTTCTGGCCTGAACGGGATCTTTTCCTTCCTGGACTCTATAAGATGAGCTCCCAGCACATCGGCTGTAGGAGCTGAAGAGAGAATTTGTATAGGCACGCTCAAAATGACAAATATTTCCAAGGAAAGAGAATTTGTGCCCTTCAAAATGAAAGGAATAAATAAAAAGAAATGTCATACTTTGCTCTCAGCCACCTAAAGAAATATTAAAATAGTGCAGGCAACAGTCTGCTGCTTTGTGCTTGAGGCTGGGAAACAAGGAAGTCAGGTTCAGTTCTCTGCTGCTTGCTATGCTTCCTTGGGAAATTCAATTAATTTCTCTGTGCTTCAGCGTCTTCTGACCCAGCTTGGTAAAAATAATTGAGATCCCCTAATATAAAACACTTTGCTGCGCATAACGATTGAGTATTTTGGAGGAACCGTTCTCTGGCAAACAAATACAATTGCTCACACCTGCTGGACCTGATGACGGCCACTCCCTATCGGTGTCCCTAGCTCACGTATCTACCATGGGCAGCGTAATCCCCCAGGCTATGGACCTCTGCAGCAGGAGGACGAGACTGATTTCCCCACTGCCCCGCTTCCTGGACTCTTGGCCCGTGCCAGGAGAGCGTAGCTGCTGCCACACCTACATTGGCCTCCAGGAGAGAGCCACTGTCATCCTGAAGAGAGAAACTGCTGGAGCAAGGCAGTGAGGAGCACGTTTCTGTATGAGCAAGCGCCGAAAGGACACCCATGGAAAAGACGCTCAGTGAAAGCTGCAGGGTAAGAGCAGTCCATAAAAGATGCTCCTGGGGTGGGTGGAGGGGGAAGCGGGGGCATCTAGTATCCAGGGCTTGTCTGGGTCATTTTTTGAGACAGTTAAGATTAAAGATATGCCATGGTTAAAACCTCTGATATTTGGTGACATACATAATCCTGATCTGGGATGGCTCAGGACTGTGTTGATATGAGGACAAAAACCTCAGGACTCTACTCTTGTGGCTTTCAGGTGGAAAATCTGTATGATTTTCAACATATCCCACAGTGTTTAAAACTAGCCTCTTATTTCTATAAGACTTAGCATTTAATTAACAGGATTTGCATTTTTTTTCTCTCTCTCTTGTCTTACTTTCATATAACATTTAATTAGGAAAAAAACCCACAACTGTTCCTTTGCTCTCTTTGGTTTTGATGGAGGGCCTTATATCTTAAGGAAATACCTTACGAAAATGGTTTAACGGAATTTATAATGCAATTAGCTGCAAAGAATTTGTCTCTGGAAACACTGAGATGGCAGTACAGTCTTAAATCAGCATGATCAATGCGCACTGCCTTAACGTTTCCCCACACAAACTTATTGTCTGTCTCATTTTAATAAATAGATGATTAGGTTCTCTGGTGCTAGAAATTCATTGGTATTTTGCAAGAAGGGAAACCAGGCAGCCGTGAACTGCAGTGATACACACACACACACTCATGCATGCACAGTGCAAGAAGAGGAACAAAATTAAATCTCTCCGTGTGGGCTCCCTTCCTATTTTATTCAGAGTTTTAGCCCTTGCTCTCTTTTGGCTATTCTCCACTGTGACATTACACAGAGATGGCCAATGACATTCTCTTTGGAAGACTTTCCCCCAACACAGTCTGTGTTATGCTGTCAAGGTCAGAGCCTCCCAACATCTCCTGCAGGTGTTTCAACCAGTATTTATCAGTCCCAACAGGAAAGATCAAGAGCCATCACCACCTCACAGCTACAGGCAATCGCAAAAACAGCCACAGAAGAAACCTCAGCTCACCGGCCAACTCCTAGGAGCACCTCTCCACGTCAACCACTTCTGAGCCAAGTTCCCAACATCCCTACGGTCAAGAAGTGGTTGCTGAAGACAACTTCCAATAAATCTTTTTAGAAGGACCAATCCTTTGGTGTTTTTGTAGGGACTTATCCATGAGTGCAGTAACTAAAAGAGTCTAAAAGAGTACAGTGAGTACTAGAGCTCAGGCCGTCCTCAGCGCAGGTTTCAGAGACAAAGGAGAGGCTTGCCTTTGCTAGCTGGCTGAGCCCCGTAGCACCACCGTTCTGCCAACTCCCAGGAGACGCTGCAGGCATCTGAGAACCCTCTAGACCTTACTGATGTCACTTTTCCTGACACTCAACCTGCATTTTCCCCTTCTTACTTTCAGCCTCTTCCCACATCGAATGCCTCCCCTTGCCGAGATTTACGACCTCGTGGCATTTGTGGCTGAGCAAGCGCGATCAGGCTACCCTAAAAGCCAGCTCAACCTCTACTGCTGAAACATCACTTGGTGCAAAATCTCTGTGCCACACATGGCTGGATACCTGTGGGATGCAGTTAGAAAAAAGTGATCTATTCAAAGAATAACTAGAACTTTGACATGCATCAATCAAAGTATTTTTACTGGCTTCCTCCTTCCTGTATGACTAATATACAAAAAGACTACTGGGCTCCAGGTATGCTGCTTTGTCTAACAGGGATGTTTTCAGACAAAGAAGAATGGATATGGCTTTAAGAAAAGGTGAAATAGCACCACCTTTTTTACACTACAGGTGTCAACTAATCCAAAGGTCCAACCTTGTTACCAGTGAATTCTACGTTTGTACCAAGTGCAACAGAATACTGAGTATTTCAATACTTACAGAAATGTTAGAACACTTAGTAATCACTATTACTATTGTATTAGCAGTTAACTAGAACAGGAACAGTCTAGGAAAGTATACCAATATCCCCTCTTGTGCGGTGCTCTAATCTCTGATATTCATACAGGAGGCAAAATACTGACATACACTCACAAGCTGTTCCTTCCAAGGTAAAGCCAAGCGCCAGCTGTGTTAAACACGACTGCATTGTGCCATATTTGTATATTAAACTTTGTTCAGCTTTGACTATTGATATTTTTAA